AAAAAAGAGGAAGAAAATAAAGTCTAGAGCACTTACAAGGCGCTCCTGAATTATTTGAGGAGCGTCTCTTAAAAGAGTCACTTAAGGCAGCTGTTCGTTTGCCTTGCTCAATAGGATAACCTTCAGCCCTGAGTTATTATGTCCATAAATATAATTTGACTTGGAAAAAGTCTTGCAGATTTATAAATTCAAATAAGTGTTCTTTCCAGACCCATCTTCCCGTCCTGAGGACCTCTTTGTAGCTGTGAAACGGATAGTTTGCCATCCAGAGCGAGTCTGCTGGTAACCGTTATAGAACTAATGCCGTGTTAAAACGCAGTGTATAAATAAACTATACATACATTAGTGGCAGCAGAAAACCACTACTCTCAGCCGAGCCAACTTTCTGTGTGAGAGCGACGAATAGATGAAATAAAAGATATGTTTACAAAATGGGCTTTGCTTTCTGCATGAGGGCTTCAGATTGGCTGAGGGAATTTAGCGTATTCGGCTAAGTCACGTATTTGGAGAAGTTCCCTATAAAAGCAGCACAGTATTAAAAGTGGAACAAACACCAGCGTAAGCCCCTGAGCTATCAGGAGACCTCGTTTGACTGCAACTTGAGTCCTCTGCTTTCTTCTCCTTATTCTGCGGCTTATGCCAAACCTCCAGGATGTCTCAGAATATCCAGAGATTTTTCCACGCCAGTTCTGCTAATTGAGGGGGGGAAAAAAAGGGTCATTGCAATTATGTAATGGCTCCCTCTAGCGTGCCAGAGATACTGCTGCATTTGGGGTATAACTCGTGTGTGTGCAGCCTGTGGGGCATGTGTGTATACGTGTGTATATACACACATACTGCGGGTTACACACTGTGCCTAACTGTGTACACATGTGGGGTAACACTAGTTTCCTTTCAGAGCATAAAAGCACACCAGCAGGAGTAAAAAAAAAACAAACAACAAAACAAAAAAAGGTTTGTATTACGGTGGCATATAATATGCAATATATTTCTGACAGTGTTTCTCATGTTTACTTTAAAAAACAGCCTCGAAACCCAGGATGAATCTTTTTTTCTTTTTTTTTTTTTTTTGAGGAAGAGGAGGCTAGTGTCTTCATCACTTATTTCTCCATCCTAGTGAGTACTTTTCTTCTTTTTTTTTAATATGACTCAGCATTACACAATAAATACTCTGACTCCACAATGAATTCAATACATTTGAGGGCACTCTGCAGTTTGTAAAACAGGTACTCAGGACTCTGAATTAAGGGAAAAACTATATAACCCTTTATACAAGTAACTTGAGTCTTTGCTTGTAAAATCTGTCTTTTTTTATCAAACATCTTGCAGCTTACAACAATCCATTGATACCAACGACATGCATGGAATACTTAGAGGAGAAATAAAAACTGAAACACTAGCACTGGATCTTCAAACCTCTGACTGAGTGCCAGGAGATAATGATAAATGAAACTCCTTGCTCTACAAGTCACTTTGGTTTTGTGGTGTCAAGTTCAGCAGGACTGCATTTTAATATCCATTCTCAGGTATGGCTGATTTTAAATTATTTTTAATGATTTCTTGGAAATCATGCCATCTTGGCATCTTTACAGATTGTGTCTCTTAAACCCAGTAGAGACTTAGATGCCTAACTGGAAAAATACACCTTAAAAAATCATGCCCACATATGAATATATGCCTCTGTCAGGCTGATGTTTGTTGCATCAGACAGTTTATAACAACAAAATGGCATTTATTGATTTTAATCCACCTGTGAAAGTAATGAATATTTTATTAGTGGGATGATTTTACAATATATCTATAATACTTTTTTGTCAATTTTTTAGCACACATTACATATTTGATAGCTTAGACTGGCATCGTGATTTCATATTTATTCACCAGAAATTGTTGTATTTTTCACAAAAAAGAGTTGGAAATTAAATGTATGATGATAATGCAAAGGAATGCAAATAATACCCATATGTTGTGCCATGTCATTATATGTTGAATATGTAGTTTGTATTTATTGCTGAAAAAACAAACAAAAAAGAAACAAAATAAAAAAGTGCTTACTAACAGCTTGGAGAGAAAGCTGGACTGTGGAGAGGCTAATACATAGAAAAACACAAATCCTTAATAATAGAAATACACATATAGAAGATTTGCACTGTCTGCCAAACCAAGAAAAGCACATTAAATACTCTGTATAAGAGAAGCTTAACAGAGGAGCAAAGTCCAGTAGAACAGCCCTAACAATTAACTGTGTGTAGAGTTAAATTATGCTTTGGAATGCTACTTTTCAATACTTCAAGTGTTTGCTTATTGGGAGACATAGTTTGATGTTAACCAAAATAATAAGTAGTAAGAGGACACATCTCCAAACATTTTTAAAATTGATTTTTTTAAAACATAACAGTATTCAGTATTTTTTTTTTGTGTGTGCATGATGAAATCTAGTACTTTATTACTCTATCTTTAGCAAAGACAGATAAACCTTTATTCTTTCAAAAAATAAAAAAGGAAATAAATAAGAAATAACCTCAATCAGAAGTGTTGAGATGAAAATCTATTGTCTTGGTGTGGAGGGTTCTTAAGCATAGCACAGAAGTCTCAGAACAAATATCCCTAAACAACTAAAAGAAAATAAGGAGGCAAGGAAAAGATCAATATAGTTAAATGTCAAGGTTCAGTATTTAAGTTATTTGAGCCTAAAATGTATCATTGGGAAAGCCCAAATCCAATCAGCTTGAGAACAATAGAAAGAAGTAAAATTAGAAAGGCCAAGGAGGAAATTTGAAGAACAGAGAATCCATATATAAGACAATTAATTACCCACTAATAAACAAATTTGTGCTTTACCTGTGTGAGGAAGCCATGACAAAACTGTCCAGCCTATTATTTAGCCATACCTATAAACCAGAAAGTACTGGAGAGAAATTATATTTCTGCACTCTAATACTCACAGAAAATTAAGACATTTCCTCTGGTCAACTGTTTTTTAGTAGCAAGGAAGAGATGTGGGTGTGTATAAGGTGTCAGTGGTGATATTCTTAAAGAGCAGAAAGCACCTAACTAAATGGTAGTCATCAAGCATTCTTACAGAATCTGAAAATGAGGTAAATGAACTGTTAAAAATATGCAGTCATTAAGATCAGTTACTATGTCTGAGGATTAAAATGTACAAAATCCATTTCTCTTTTAAAAAGACTAAAAGGGTGATCAACAAATTGGTGTGGCACGATTTATTTTTCATAGCAGTAATATAAAATGGGTTAAAATAACAATTAAAATGAGAAATTGTATGGCATCTAGAGAAATGTAAGAGAAGCATTGTCCAGAAGCTCAATGAAATCTATAGAAACCATTCCACAGATTTGATTCATCCCATATTAGCAAAGTAGTGTAACTTGCATAGACCAAAAGGACATTCTTTCTGTTTGTTAATATTGTTTTGAAATTGTAACAGAGCAACAGATGAAACCCCTTTTGTTGCTCTGTATGTAAGCAGTTTTATGTCAATTTAATTGTGAGGTCACACCAGCAGGACATGTAGAAGAGAGAAATGATGAGAAAGAAAATACAAAATAACAGGGCAGTAGGTAAAGGCAAGACAGGGTGTCTGTAAATGATGCTAGTGATCTAATGGGAGGATAGGACCCAAGAAGAGAGAGGAGTAGGAAAAGGGTGCTGAAGCAGGGTACAGGGCTGTTTAAAAGGCTTCAGGCAAATGGAATTAGTAGGAAGGAAGTCTGAAATTCTCACCGAAAGAGTTGATACCTGTGGCTTCTATATAGGAATATTATGGTTATAGTTGTACCTGTGTCATTTTGGAAACACAAACAAACACATTCATTGGGCTTACAGAAAGGATGAGTTTTAGGCCAGATGTAAGGTTCTTAGGATCTGCATTCTTATGCCTCTTTTCAGGCACATTATTTAAGGATTATTTAGTACAATATACAGAAACATTTTTTACTTTTTTATTGCAGTGAAAACAGGGCATACTGAGATAAAACCCAGTGTGTTTCAAACAGACTGAGAAGTTTTCTTAATGAGTTTTTTAAAAAATAATTTCTTTAAGAGCAATTGAAATACTGAAAACCGGTTTCCTACAGGTGTGTATTTTAATTTTCCCTCTGCCACTACTACCAGATTCCTCCTGTGTCTGATGGTTGCCCTGCAGCTACGAGTGGCTGGCTGAGAGGTACTTGCTGCTGGGCCAGGCAGCAGTTGCCTGGAAAAGTACAACAGCTACCTTTACATCTCTCAGGGTATCAATTTATGTTGCATACATAACCACTCACTGAAATGAAATTTAAACTAAAACCACCTCTAAAGCACTTGCAAATTTAACTGAAATTGTCCAGTGCTCATAGAGTTGCTGGGCAGAATGATGACAAGACAGAGACACTCAGATAATGCTCAAGGGGGCTGGTGTGTTTACTTGCATAGCCTCCTTTAAAAAAATAAACCATTTTAAAATAAAACACTTGATCCGTTTGGTTGTAACATGATGCCAGTGCTGGACTTAGGATATGGCATAGTAATATGATCATATGACTTGGCATGTTAGCATAATGCACACACTGCAAGTATCAGTGAGATAGGAATATACTGTAAATATAGACACTAGATCTTGTAAAAAAAGAAAAGAAAATACCTACATTTTCAATTAAAGGATATTCTCTGAAGCATTTTAAAACTTTTCTGAAGCAAATATTGTATGGATTTTTCTTAAACCTGACGATTTTGGTTTGCACAGTAAATTAGATCAAACCATATAGAGATCAACAATATGCTTTGCTTCACTGAATAATAAAGTACTTTACTGATGAAAATCTGTTTTGTCAATTGTTTGTGACAAGTTTGTTAGAGATTAGAGCACATAGACCTGTCACTAATATACTCATTTAAATACTTGTTTAGAAATTATAAAAAAAATTAAATTCTATTAAATACTTGGTTTTGTAGACAGAATTAATTTGATTGCAGTTATTGTTAATGGTTAATGTCTCCTATGTCTTCTAAAGATTATGTGGCAGGACAGGACAGTTTTTCGTTGTTCTGTTCCCCTTTGGCTTCATTTGCACTCTGGAAATATTATGACTTCCTTGGGAATGGTCAAATAAAGAAATTTATGGAAATGCAGGATAAAAAAGGAGAAAGGAGGAAGAAGGGAAAGAAAAAAATCAAGAGTGAACAGAAACTCCAATAAATGCTGAGAAAAGCAGGGAACAGAGCTACTATGTAAATCTTAGAGGGGAAGGAAAGAAGATACTCTCTTGGGTTTGGGGAGTGGACTGTGCATAACATGCAAACCTGCAGAGCAGCCAGACTGGGACCATGCACAGACAAGAAGACCTGGTGTCTTACATCCAGCCAATGGATGTTCATCTGCACATTTTCTATTCTAACTTTGGATATTTTATCAAGCTTTGTTTTGGGTAGAATCTTATCTTTGAGATTTAAAATTTTCCTGGGAGTGCAGATAGTGCTAGCTATAAGGAAAAGGTAAAACTCAAAGATCTGGCTAAATGATTTATATTTTGCAGATAGAAGTACTGATACAGGACAAAGTTGGAGAAGCCAAAATCATAGAATCACAGAGTGATTTGGGCTGGAACGGACCTAAAAATTATGTAGTTCCAATACCCCTGCCATGGTCACAGACACCTTTCACTAGATCAGGTTGCTGAAAATCCTATCCAGCCTGGCCTTGATTGCCTCCAGGAATGGAGATCAGCAAGTCCTCTGGGCCATCTGTACCAGTGTCCTGCAACCCTCACGGTAAAGATTTTTTCCCTAATACCTAATCTAAAATTACCCTCCTTCATTTTAAAGCAGTTCCCCCTTGTTCTGTGACTATAGGCTTTTGTAGTTAAAATAATATTTCTAGACATATCTGATGATATGAAAGATCAAGAAAATAAAATAAAAAAGGAGGCCCTTACAAAAGTCTTGATAAAGGTATTTCATGAGAGCTGTTTAAGGGCAAAATCATGTGCTGGAAGAACTCTAAGAAAAAGACCCTACCTAGTAGTCTTTAAGATTATTCTCAGTGAGGTTTGGTATGGAAAAATATTTTAATTTTCTTCATTAAAACAAACAATATATCAAACAAAATTACTGACCCGACAGCATCTAGGCAAGTTACTGGATATTTCTCATGCTTCATATGTAGGAAGATCTCTAAGAATATAATTTTATTATTAATAATAATTAATACATTGGAATTCACTGAAATCTCAGTACAGCATGTCACTGAATCTCTTCTCTCTTCTAGTATTTCAGTATTACAATTGCTTTGGAGCTAATGTTTACTGTCTGTAGACAAGGAAATATGGTAAAGTTCAATGCCTCACTTTCTCCCCACAAAGCACTACTTAGAGATTGAAAACTGTTACATCAGTCAGACGTGTCAGAATTTTCATGTGAAGGAAGACTAGTGTATCCAGAGCTGAAGCTGCCACCTGCCAGTATTGGTAGAAAGCAAAAGATTGAGGAAGACTCCAGAATAATTCACCTGTAAAGTACTTAGTAATCCTGATCCACAGAAATTCACCTCTGCCACTATTCTTACAATTACTCTCCAGGTGGGATGAAGATATCATCTTTGAAACTTTTGAATTCCAAGTGCAGCTGGAAATCAAGTTCCACTTTCCTGAAGAGAGTAAGCTTGAACTGTAAGTACCACGTGATCTGTGTGTATAAATTTGCAGGAGATAAAGTTCATACTGGAAACAAAACCAGTAACAGCAACAGCAAAGGAACTAAGCCAGATTTCTGTTATCAATATATTATATATAATAATATAATATAATAACATAATAAAAATTATATAATGATATACTATTGTATGTATCTATATAATATTGATATCATGTACTATAGTTATTTCCATATTTATTTTATTTTCATTTTAGTTTTTCTTAGCTAGCATTTTGCACACCTGGAGAAAATTTCAAACTCTCCTAAGGGTGTGTGAAATTTCTTATACATTGGACACTAAAGATTTTACAAGCTAAGTTTACATATTATTCAACCCTTTTGTTTCTAAAGTATTCCCTTATTTAGTTATGCAGTTAGTAGCTCTACTTTAAACAGGACTGATTGCAACTCTGTAAACAATTCTGCTGTTAAATCTCTCAGAGAGATGGAATCCCATTTACTCTCTCCTAGCTGTAATTTCAGAAGATTAAAAGGAAAAAACCAAAACCTAAGGCAAAAACAACCAAACCAAAACAGGTAATGAAACTGTCTTTGCTCTCCATCCCAAAAGTTCAGGGACACAACTAGGAATATATTATGATAATAAAAAAATCTGTTGAGTCAAGTGTTATGTTTGTATGCCTTTTGCAAGGAAGCAACATCTTAAGATATTTTGTAGCTGATAACGTTTCTTTGCCAGCTTACACATATATTTGAAACCAACCCTCCAGTCTTGTTCCTGCTAACCATTTTCATTTGTATACTCCTATGTGAGCTCCAACATAAACAAGACTTGTAAACAGCAGACTATAGATAAGCTTTCAAAATGTTGTGTGGCATTTTGCCCACATATCTGTCAAAGTAAAAGGTTAGAATCTTCACTTTTTAAAGAAAAACATACCAATTAGCAGCAAGGCAAGGCTGTCTAGAGCATGAGGATTTCAAAGTTTGACACGACTGTAGGTGCAACACAAGCCATTTATTTGTACGAAGCTCCCTTTCATCTCCTGATGGCAGGAGAGAATCCAGAAGAGGGATCTGCCTGTGAGGAATTTGCTCTCAGGTACTACAGAATGAGGTTCTTGCCCAATGTGTCCAGTATATAAACAACCAGGTAATAGGTTTGGAGATGATTGTTTTGCCTTGTTTGACTACCAAATTGAGGTCTCTATACTGGTTTCAGTGGCATAATCACCAAATAGGATTGTCAAATACTCTTATCCCCACTATGCAGGAAAATAAGGGATACTTGAGGGCTTGTTTCCTGGCATGGGCTAGTGTGACTTGAGGTCACAGCAAAAGCTGGAGAGTGATGACAGCAGCCTGTGTGGGGCTGCTGGTCCCTGTCCTGATGGGGCATTGGCAGCTGGTGCTCAAGGCCATGCAGGACTTTGGCTTCATCCCCTCAACACATTGGCCATCTGAGATAAGCTGAACTGACAGTTGGCTGCCAGCACAGAGCAGTAGGGGTTTGTGCCCCCCTTAGAGCCAGGGGTAAGCGAGAGAGGAAATAATGTTTCTAAAAGTCATAATTCCCTTCTCTGTTTGCTCCTGGGATGGTGCTGCTATACATCCCCCTTTCTGCAGGCAAACTGTTGTCTTACAGTCTTGTCATAAGTGATTAGTCAGAAGCCAGTGCTATAAAAAAGCCAGAACAGAATGTAATAACCAAGGTGCAAAATTAACATTTAAAAAATCCTATAACCTGCTGCAAAAACAAAAACAGATCCTAAAATTAAAATATGAAATACTGTTTCCTTGAGACCACTAAAAACACTTAGTGACTTTTTCTATCTTCATGGAAGACATATTAAGCAGGCTGGATTTTTTAAAATTGTGAAGTGTCTGTGTCCTGGAAATTAGGTCCTTTAAGCCATCTTAACAATGAGTACATAAAAAAAAATTTACTCTTTAATTAAATGCATATTTTGGATAAACTATGCAAAAAATAAATTAAGAAAATAAAGTAAGATAAACAAACAAAGAAATCTATGCAGATATAAATCTTGGGCAGCATTTCTGTCCGTAATGTTAATGTGTTAGGTACCAAAACAGGTTTAGTTTTATGTAAGAAAGTGTATTCATGGTTGCTGCCCTGAGGAATTTAGTGTCAGTAAATTAACATAAATGAATTGCTACAATTTTCTGTTTTATTATAATTTCTAAAATTGTTAGCAGACTTAACGGTTTTACATACATCTAGAGATAACATCTGAATTGCAAATAAATCACTACAAAATATATGTTGCAGACAGTTTTATTTAATGTGCAGAGGCATTAAATATTTAAAGGGCCAACTTCTACCATGTGCCTGTTCCACTAAGTATGTCCACTGTGGTGCATAAAGGAGGGTCTATTATATTGGGAGGGGTAATATTTTAAGGTGAAATTTGTTTTACACTACAGGTATTTAAATTAGAGCTAATGAGTCAGTCATGTTACTAAAATAGCATAGTTATTTTAAATACATTTATTTAGATGTAGGGAATATAATAATTAGTTTTTTTATCCTTTTTTTACTCTGTATTTTTTAATAGCTGGTTCCTGTTTGGCATGCAATAACTCGTATGGCGAATGATGATCCAGGATCACTTACATCGTTTGTGTAATGCCCTAAACACACCCTCACTTCCTGGGAAACTGTCTGCCAGGGTGCTGCAGTGCACACCCTCCGTAATGCTCGCTTCCACCTGATGTCTGAGGGCACAAAGCTTGTCTCAGAGCTCACCAGTCAAGTTCAACATCTCAGCCTTATTTGAAGGTGCTTAATGACTCAGGATATCAAAAAGAGAGTTCTTTGTGACAGTTGGTTGACTGGTTTTGGGGTTTTGTCTCAGAATAGTCTGACATAGATATAGTTTATCTGGAGAGGGACTGACATCTTTGGTGGATAGACTTGATACAGTGGAATGAAATCCCACAAGAAATAATGACCATTTTACACCTCAACAAGTTTCTGCTTCAGTTGCAAGGATTTTCTCTTTACTTAGCTGGCTTTAATGAAAATATATGCAAAATTTGTATGTAGGTAATATTAATTTATGAACATAAAGAAGGTCACACACTTTTCTTTCAAGCAAGGGTGCCAAAATTAAAGTAGATTAATTTGTAGCGCTTGGTGCACTAGTATTAGATGTTCTCATCCTACTGTGATGAATGTCTATCAAAAAACCTGCATTTTGGAGAAGACCACATACAACCACAAGAAAGAAAAAAATAATTGCTAATATGAGTTGTCAAGCTGTATGAAATATATTTGGTCACAAAAATGTCTGAATTAAGACTTATTGAACTCTTATTACTGCACATAATTGTATAGAAAACTGCTGAAGAAATGCACTTTCAATTGCTTTGCTGTTTTCTTCCTGATCATTGTCTCTGATTTTTAAAGGCTGTAGTCATGTTAGTATAGCATTCATCTTTTCAGCAGACATAAATTGTCTCTATGATATTATGACTGTAGTCCTGATCCTGCTCTCTCGCAGACCAAATAGTTGCTTGTTTCATTTTCCTATTAAAGGCTCATGAAAGCATAACTAGATTTCAGCCTTCACCTACATGATCATCCTGATATTGTTTGGCCCATGTGACACAAAAATCACAGAAGTCCCCATGCAATTGAATTTATAAAGAAAAGCAATTAACTAATGAACCTTTAATCTCAACTTCTTTTAGGGTTTTTTTGGTTGGTTTTTTTTTTAACAAATGAGTGAGGAGAATTCTGAAGTTTGCTTGTGACTTTTCTAAAGCATTTCATGTAGAAAACTCTTTGGTTTACAGACTTTATGAGAAAGCATTCACAAACAGGGGCCATTGTTTATTGTCTTGTAGTAAACAGCAATTCTCTCAAAAAACTGGCTACAGTACCCTGGGAATTGGACCCAAACATGTGAAAAGCCACTTATCATAGAGTAAATGCATGAAAAAAAAATGTTAAAAACTCACAGGAGGATTTTGAAAGTCCTCAAAGACATCAAATTATTGTCTGTGCTGTCTAGTTCAAAGACTTTAAAATAAGATACAAAACAAAATTACACCTGTCAGACCTAAACAATACATCACTAAATCCCCACATACACAAAGTGTAGGGCCTTTACTAAGAAACTAAAATAAATTTGAATATTAATACTAAATCTCTTTATTCTGTTTGGAGACATTATTCTTTTTCAGTATGTTCATTTAGAGTTGAAGCTGTGGATGCTCTCTGGTAGATTCTAATACATGTTTTCCTTCCAGTCACTGGAACAAAAAAGAAAAATTACAATAATTAGTGTTCACACCTTATCACATAAAGGGAGCAAAGATGGTTAATATACAGAGTTATGCAAATACCAGTATGTTGGGCGACTTGCTGTTGTGCATAACTGGCATGAATTTAAAATTATTAATTCACTTAATAGTTGGCTATAGTATAACCGAGGCCTAGCACTTACCCTTCTGAACAGAACAAATTTTCATTGGGTTTTACAGGTCCTTTCCAGTATTAAGCATATTTATGCAATTAATTAGGAAGAAAGAGATGATAAAAGCATGACCTTTTTTCCTTCTGTGGAGTAAATATCAGGTGTCAATATTAACAGTAATGCAGCCAACATTTCTAATGTATCAAGACAACTATTTGGAATATTGACCTATGGAATAAACAAGTATTGTGATTTTGTCATCCCTTCTAAATGTCACAGCACTGAAAATCACACAGAGAGAAAATTGGTATGTTAAATGGAAAGTTTCTGTGTTCCACAGCAACAAGGAAACTGAGACCTGTGGGCTTAACAACAGTGCTTGACTCCTGTCATATCATAAACAAAACTCCTAACTTCCTTCCCTCCTTCCTGCCTTCCTATAAAATTTTGCCATTCAGTATGGAGGCAGCAAAAGTACACACTGTAGTACTCAAAATAGGGGTGATTTTTTAATTGTAGTATAGTATATATATAATGTGTATATATATATACATATATATATGTATGTATGT